CACTATGCTGCCTCCAAGACACTCATCTCATAGAAAAAGACATCCACAGACTGAAGAAGGGATGGGAAAAATCATACCACTCACATGGACTGCGGAAGCAAGCAGGGGTTTCCATCCTCATACCAAATAAAGTAGACTTCAAGCTAAAGTCAATCAAAAAGGATAAAGAAGGACATTACATACTGCTCAAGGGAACCATACACCAACAAGACTTAACAATTATAAATATATATACCCCAAACAATGGAGCATCTATGTTCATCAAACAAACTCTTCTCAAGTTCAAGAATCAAATAGACCACAATACAATAATTTTGTGGGACTTTAACATATCTCTTTCACCACTGGATAGATCTTCCAAACAAAATCTGAACAAAGAAACTATAACTCAATAATAGGATCAATAACTTAAACTTAACTAATATATATAGAGTATTTCATCTTTTAATGAGAGAATACACTTTCATCTCAGCAGCACATGGATTCTTCTCTAAAATAGACCATGTATTTTGCCACAAAGAAACTCTTAGCAAATATAAAAAAGTAGACATACTACCCTGCATTCTATCAGATCATAATGGAATGAAATTAGAAATAAATGATAAAATAAGAAATAAAACTACTCCGACACCTAGAGACTTAATAATATGCTACTGAATGAACAATGGGTTACATAAGACATCAAGGAGGAGATTTACAAAATTTTAGAGGTGAATGAGAACACAGATACAACATATTAAAATCTCTGGGACACTCTGAAAGCAGTTCTAAGAGGAAAGTTCATTGCATGGAGTTCATTCCTTAAAGAAGAAAAAGTAAAAAAATAAATGACTTAACATGACATCTCAAAGTCCTAGAAAAAGAAGAACAAATCAACACCCAAAGCAGTAGAAGACAGGAAATAATTAAAATCAGAGCTGAAATTAATGGAATTGAAACAAAAAAATTGACAGAACAAAAAGTTGGTTCTTTGAAAAAATAAATAAAATTGACAGACCCTTAGCCATGCTAATGAAGAAAAGGAGAGAGAAAACTCAAATCGCTAACGTACGTGATGAAAACCATCATGACAGACACTACAGAAATACAGAAGATAATTAGAAATTATTTTGAAAACTTGTACTCCAAGAAAATAGAAAATACTGAAGGCATCAACAAATTTCTAGTCATATAATTTTCCCAAAATGAATCAGGATGATATTCATAATTTATTTTTTTGAGGTCATTGTTAGTTTTATATATATGTGTGTGTGTGTGTGTATACACATACACACACACACACACATACACACACACACACATATATATATATATATATATATA